CCAGTCACACATTTGACAAATAACTTGTACGCAACACAACCAAAGAATTCTCAAAACTCTGGGGCCGGCACCGTGGCTCACTTGGTTAATTCCCCGCTTGCGGTGCTGGCATCCCATATGGGCGCCGGTTCTAGTCCCGGCTGCTCCTCTTCCAGTCCAGCTCTCTACTGTGGCCCAGGAAGGCAGTGGAGGATGGCCCAAGTCCTTGGGCCCCTGCACCTGCATGGGAGACCAGGAAGAAGCACCTGGCTCCTGGCTTCGGATCGGCGCAGCGCTGGCCATGGCAGCCATTTGGGGAGTGAACCAATGGAAGGAAGACCTTTCTCTCTCTCACTGTCTAAAACTCTACCTGTCAAAAAAAAAGAATTCTCAAAAATCAATAAGGAGAACAAATTGCCTCAATTAAAAGTAGGCTAAAAATAGGCTAAAGATTTCAATATATTCTCACTGGAAAGAACTTGAGACTGTCAAGCACCCGAAAAGACATTCAACATCATTACCTATGAGTGAAATGCAAATTAAAACCATGATCAGACACAACTACATACTTATTACAATGACTAAAAAATTAAAAATACCAATATTACCAATAGCCAAGAAAGATGTTGAGCAACTAGAACTCACACAGACTTCTGGAGGAATGAGCAAATGGTACAGTCACTCTGAAAAAACGGCTTAGCAATTTCTTAGGAAATCAAACATACACAACACCTAGAACCATCAGTCCCATGCAGAGTCAGAAGCTGTTTAAACAGTGGGGTGGTCAGTCGCTCCACACACCTCTCCACGTAGTCTAGACGTGGCACACAGCAGCTGTGTGAGGCTGCTGATGGTGCCGAGTGGCACACTGGTTTTCAGTGAAACTTTTTTTTCATAAGTGGAAGGAATTTACTATAAAATTATGAATCAAGGACAGTACAGTAAATACACAAATGAGTGATTATAACCAGTAGCAAGTAACTGTAGGAGCCATACTCTTACACGACTGGCAGTGCTGTAGGGATGGTTACAACGACCCCACCACACACAGCCACACATGAGCAGTGCATTGTGCTAAGATGTTACGGTTGTGACGTCACTAGGTAATAGGAATTTTTCAGCTCCATTATGAATTCTGAGGACCTGTCTTATATGCAGCCTGTCACTGGGCAACATGCTGTTAGGCAGTTTATTGCTGTATTTAACTGCAAGGTGTTTACAGCAGAGAAATGAAAACTTATGTTCACACAAAACCTGTCCGTGAATGTTTATAGCAGCTCTTTTCAAACTTTCCCCTCTCCCAAAAGAAGGGGAACAACCCAAAAGTCCTCCGAAGTGTGTTATTGTACATCCCTAAATAGATCCTTAACAGGGCATCCTAGTTAAAAGTAAATCAAGCAAATATTTTTGTCTTCTATTTTGTGTGGAAAGTATTTCAGCCTGTCCTAAGGTGAACTGAGCTAAAACTTAGGAAGCTAACCCCGCCTGTGTTTGCTGATGAATCATGCTGCACAGGAGCTCTGTACGAATGATGGGCTTTCTTTGTGGCTGCCTGCCCCAGGGGGTGTAAGCAGATATGGGACCCTTGTCAGGTTGATCTCTAGAGGGTCTGCAGCTGCCATCTGAAACCACTCTTTGTGTGGGCGCCAAGGTCTGAGAAGCATGTGTGAAGTAACTGTGGGGAGTCACAGAACATGGCTAAGAAAGGAGCTGGCTCACTGTTTGTCCTTTCTGTCTACCAGGTCAGATACCTGTGACCTTTACCACATTTTCTTCTCTCTCTCTCTCTCTTTTTTTTTTTTTTTTTTTTTTTTTTTTTTTTTTTTTGACAGGCAGAGTAGACAGTGAGAGAGAGAGACAGAGAGAAAGGTCTTCCTTTTTGCCATTGGTTCACCCTCCAATGGCCACCGCGGCCGGCACGCTGCGGCCCTGGCACACCGCGCTGATCCGAAGGCAGGAGCCAGGTGCTTCTCCTGGTCTCCCATGGGGTGCAGGGCCCAAGCACCTGGGCCATCCTCCACTGCACTCCCTGGCCACAGCAGAGAGCTGGCCTGGAAGAGGGGCAACCGGGACAGAATCCGGCGCCCCGACCAGGACTAGAACCTGGTGAGCCGGCGCCGCTAGGCGGAGGATTAGCCTAGTGAGCTGCAGCGCCGGCCTTCTCTTTCTTGTTTCACACACACGGGGACTTCAAAAATGAAATTAAAAACTGATTAAATCCACATTCTATGCAAAATTTTCCATCAACTTTTTTGAAGATCCCTCCTTGACTTGGTGTAGCCATTTAAAATTTGCTGTCTCCACTTCCCAGCTGTTCCATGAGCTTGGAACAAGCCACGGGACAATTTTTCTTAACCTAAGCCGCACAGTGAAGCACTGCTTCTCCCACAGCTTTACTTGTGATGCCAAGAGAGGAGTCCCCCAGCAGAGCCTGGTAACTGAGTCAGTGTAGGGCTGGGGAGAGGCGGGGGAAGTGCAAGGAAGACCACAAGATCCAGCGGTTTGGAGGTTTCCTTTCTATGTGTCTGACTGGCAATGTTGTTATACAAATTAGCTAATAAGGGGAAAAGCAGGCAGAGAAGTATCCAATATTTGAGAGGGAAGATATGTGCTCCATCAAGGAGATTTTACTCTTCCCAGAAGTCGGGGCAAGTTCAGAGGTCGCTGAAACACGGGGAGAGCCGGAGCCTGAGAGCCGGCCTTCCCAGACGTGGAGGCCTTGTCTCCCTGGGGGTGAAGCTCCAGGAAGCCAGACCCTTCCTGTTCAAATGATGTGGTTTCCTAGGGGCCGTATAAATAGTTCTCCAAGGAAAGGATTAAGATTAGAGGCCAAGGATCCCGCCATACCTCGGAGTGCAGCTGTCACTGGGGCCAGCGAGAGTGGCGAGAGGGGCGCGAGCAAAAGCACCTCTGGGAGGGGCGGGGCAAGGCAGGGCAGAAGCACAGGATGTGGAGCGCAGGGATGGTCGGGCTCAGAGCAGAACAGTGCAGGGCAAAGAAGGGCAGGTGCAGCAGAGGGCGGCAGCAGGCCGGGCTCAGGGCTCAGGGGAGCGCACCAGGACCAGGGATGGACTGGGAGGGCAGGTAGAAAGGGCAGCCAAGACCTGCTTGAAATAGACTGCAGTGTGAGCTATGGGACTCTAGAGCCTGTCTGTACTCTTGAGGAAGGTGGAAGGCGACGGAGGCAGAACAGAGTCAGACTGAAGGATTTGTCTTCACCTCGGGATGAACCCGCTGGAACTGACCACCACACTGCCTGGCTGGGAGCCGGAACTCCCATCCCCATCCCTGGGACTAAGTCAACTTTGAGAAGGCAAACCTGGTCCAGGGCACCCCTCACTGTCTCTTAGAGTGAAATTTCATGAGCACGCCGAAAGAACACACACTGTACATGCTGAACTAGAGAACGAGGTCTCCACCAGAGGATTTGGGCCCAGGAGACACAATGGCTTCACAAGCTGCTGACTGGTCTTCTAAGAGTTCTTTTTTTTTTCTTCTTTTTTAAAATAATATAATGGCAGGCATTTATAATCTGCTGCAATCTCTTTTTAAAAATTTATTTATTTATTTGAAAGGCAGAGCTAGAGAGAGAGAGAGACAGATCTTCCACCTGCTGGTTCACTCCCCAGACAGCTGAAATAGACAGGACTGCCAGGCCCAGCAGGAGCCTGGAACCCCATCTGGCTCTCCCACGTGGGTGTAGCTTGGCGCTTCATCTGCTGCTTTCCCAGTGCATTAGCAAGCAGCTGGATTGGATGTGGAGCAGCTGAGACTCAGCCTGCACTCATGTGGGATGCTGACATTGCAAGCCACGGCTTAACTGAATGAGCCACAGTGCCGGCCCCTGTCATGATCTTTCTTTATGGGAATACTAAACATTAAGAATAAAGAACAATTTAAAGTTACTGTTTCTTCAGACAAACATTACCTATCATCCCTTAAGTACTAATAATCTGAACCATTAACATGTCATGTCTGAATCCCTTGAACTTCAGACAAGATGTAAATGTATTTATTTAGTTATAACCACTCATTGCTGGTGTAATCAAAACTCCAAAACCAAGTGCAGGAGCAGTCGGCACCCCCTGTCATCAGGGTCCTGTATCCACAGATTCAGCCAAACTTGGATTGCAAATTTTTGAAAAAAATATTGTACCTGTACTGAACATGTTCTGATTTTCTTCTTGACATCATTCCCTAAACAATGCAGCAAATAACTATTTGCATAGCATTTACACTATATGAAGGTTCTTTAAAAAGTTCATAGAAAATGTGTATTACGAGAAAGCTTTCCATGAATTTCAAGACTTTTGTACCAAAAAACCCTTTAGCTCTTAATTCTATTTTCAGAGAACTTTTGGAAGTAGCCTCATTTTAGGTGTTACAAGTAAGTAATTTAGAGATTATTGAATATATATAGGAGGTGTGCAGAGATTATATGTAAATGCTAGGCCATTTTAGGTAATGAGCTTGAATTTTGGGAATGTGGGGTCCCAGAGCGAATTCCCAGGGCAGTCAGGACTGTACCTTTCTTTATTACCAGAGTCTGTGTGATGTACCAGCCAGGAGACAAGCACAGGCGCAAACGGCACAGCCACGCGGTGTGCTCACGCCCCAGCTCCACTGCTCACTGACTGTGGGCCTTTGGGCAAATTACTGGCTTTCATGTGACTTGATGTTCTCATCTGTAAGATGGAGATGACATTACTGCCTACCTCCTAGGGCTGCGGTGAGGATGAAGAGAACCTGGAGTGGTAACTCAGTGAGCACTTGTGGTGAACACACCTAACAGGATGACTGGTGAATGTCAGCTCCACAGATGTCACTCATCCCTGCCATCACTCTCTGACCCCTCAGGGTAGTTTAGTGGCGCTAGCAGGGGCATGTGAGGTTGGCAAGGATGCCCAACAGATTCCACGATCCTCAGAAGACTAAAAACTCACACAACAATGACATTATCTTATGATTTTTAATATCCAGCGAGTCCCGATTTAATGCGTCTATCCTTTTGTGTTCACCAGAGTTGAAAATATGTCAATGAGGTTGGAAGAAATCAATGAAAGAGAGAATTTTATGAAAACGTCCCTACAGACGGTTGACCTTCGGCTCTCTCAGCTGGAAGAGTTATCCAGCAGAATGGTCAATGCTCTGGAAAATCTTGCCGGGATCGACAAGGCTGAGCTGACCCAGACGCGGTCGCGGGCTTCCTCTGAGTGCGATGTGACTTACCTGCTCCGGCAGAGCAGCGTCAACAGCGCCGACGGCTACAGCATGTGTCGGTATCATTTCAATGGAGAGGAGCTACTGCTTGAGGACCCGTCTCTCTCCATGTCTCCAGGGCCAGGATTCAGGAAAAGAGCCTGTTCCTTCCGTGTGAAGGAAGAGAAGGATGTGAAGACGCACCTCGTCCCGGAACGGCAGGGCAGCCTTCACCTGCCGTCAGGCACGCCTGCGGCACCAGATGGCAGTCGGCTGGTTGTAGCCGACGGTAAGAACACTTCAGAGCCCAAATTAGGTCCAGATATCGGGATTTCAACAGAAGATGAAAGGCAGGCGGACCCTAAAAGAGAAGAAACTGCTTCCCCAAGTTTAAATCAAACAGATGTCGGGCATGGGCAGAACAAATCAGATTTTCAAAACACTCAGCTGACAGTGGAAACGACAAAAATAGAAGGCAGCATTTCCTATCCCTTGGAAGAAACCACAGTCACACGCTATAACCCAGATGAAACGTTCAATGCCTGCAAAACAGTGAAGTCCAGAAGCTTCATCTATTCCCATGGACGACAGCTGGTCAGCGGCGTTAACCAGTGGAGTGCAGAGTACAGCTCCATCATGGACCAAGCGTGCCCCTCCGCAGCGCAACAGTGGACGACAGAATGGAAGTACCAGGTGCAAAAGATCACGCGTTCGCGCAGCACGGACATCCCTGCCATCGTGTCGGAAGCTGCAGTGCAAGCCGAGCAGAGAGAGCAGTCTACAGACACCGAAGACGAGAACAGTGCGCCTCAGACAGTCCCTCGAATCGCCCGTCTATCCCTCGCAGTCACCGACAGGACTGGGAAGGGAAACCTGCTGTCTGTGAAACCAGAGCAAACTCTGGGATTCCCGTCGCTCAGGTCCAAAAGTTTACATGGCCACCCAAGGGGCGTGAGGTCCCTCCAGCACAGATTAGACAGGCCAGGCCACGCCAGCAGTGTGACCAACTTGGTCGTTGTATCTGGAGTTACGACGGAAGAACCAAAGGTGAAGCAAGAGAAAACTTCCCCAGAAACTGAATGCTAACCCGTTGTGTGTGTGTGTGTGTTTTTTTAAATCAGAGCCACTAAAAGGTCCCCCCTTGGTCATCCAAATATCACTGAAAACATTTTCATTTTTTCCCAAAGATTTATTTATTTGAAAGGCAGAGTTATATATAGAGAGAGAGATCTCCCATCCACTGGTTCACTCCCTAAATGGCCTCAATAGCCAGGGCTGGACCAGGCTGAAGCCAGGAGCCAGGAGCTCCATCCAGATCTCCCACGTGGGGCAGGGGCCCAAGCACTTGGGCCATCCCCTCCACTGCTTTCTCAGGCACCTTAGCAGCGAGCTAGATCAGAAGTGGAGCAGCTGGGACTCAAACGGGCGCCCATATGGGATGCTGGCTTTGCAGGCCAATGTCTTAGCCCGTTGCACCATATTGCTGGCTCCACATTTTCATTTTTAAAACCTAGAAATTTTGACTGAAGTTAAAATGTAATGGGCTGAATTAAAGTCGTATTTTGTTAGCATATGTTAGTAGTTTTTTGTTTGTTTGTTTGTTTTAGTTAGGTTAGGATCAAACGAAAGTGACAATACTCCAGTGCACACAGACTGATTCATCAGTGTACAAGATTGTATTACCAAATAGCCTAAGAAGTGCCTGCGGGCACATGAGCCTCCAGCAGGTCACTTAAAGAGCAAGCAACCATGTAAGACAGAGAATTAAAGAGAAGGCAAAACACAAGAAAAGGAGGGGCGTGGGGAGATGGGGAGCTGGAAAACAGAATTATAAGGTGCAAGAAGGGAGATGTGGGGAGCAGCCACAAACAGCAGATGTTTCTTTATGGGGCTTTTTTGTTTGTTTTATGTCTCAGTGTTTTTAAGTTACACAACAGGGTGGGGGAGGGGATGCCCAATGATATCCAACAGCACACTCTTAGAACTTAGGGTGGCCAAGAGTTTTGTTAATGTGTAAAAATAAAGTGTGCAAGATACATTTTCTTGTTGTCATATAGTCCTGAACAGCAAACGTGAATTAAATGTACCCCTGGCTATGCTCACGCCTGAGAATGCAAGGTGAAATGCACAAGGAAAGACCTTTTTTCTGGTTCTTTTCTCGGTCAAAAAAAAAAAAAACGAATGCAAGGTGGAATGCTCCGAAGTTGAAAGTGAATGCTCCGAGTTGAAGTTCAAACACCCACCATGTACTAGGCCCCCCCAGGCAGACGTCCCAGGGGGCCACGCCACCACCACCACCACCACTCTTGACTATCCAAAATGAGAGGGGGTGGGAAGGGGTCTTCTCTGGCTACAGCAGAGGCTAGACTGAGACCTTGGGTGCTCACAATCTCCCAGGAGCACCTTATTGGAGGTCTCAGGTGTCTCTTTCTCTGGAGCGCACAGCAGGTGCCTCCTGCCTGAAGTTACCACCAGCTGTTAACTTCAGCAAAGCACCTAGAAAGAACCATTGGGTCGGCCGGCGCTGCGGCTCAATAGGCTAATCCTCCGCCTAGCGGCGCCGGCACACCAGGTTCTAGTGCCAGTCGGGGCACCGGATTCTGTCCCGGTTGCCCCTCTTCCAGGCCAGCTCTCTGCTGTGGCCAGGGAGTGCAGTAGAGGATGGCCCAAGTGCTTGGGCCCTGCCATTGGATCAGCGTGGTGCGCCGGCCGCAGCGTGCCGGCCGTGGCAGCCATTGGAGGGTGAACCAATGGCAAAAAGGAAGACCTTTCTCTCTGTCTCTCTCTGTCTCACTCTCCACTCTGCCTGAAAAAAAAAACAAAAACAAACAAAAAAAAAACATTGGGTCAATATCCAGGAATTGGTGGTGGAAGGGTAGGAGAGGTCTCAGTCCGAAATGGACAATGATCATACAAAAGGAGACGCTCGCTCCTGTTCTCACCTGATATGTAGACTGTCACACCACCATGAACTGGCCGGAGGGGGTGGGGGTGGGAAGAGATAGAGACACGGGGGAGATAGAGACAGAGAGGGAGACCGTGGTCTATTGCACAGCAGTGGCCCAATACCTACACGTGATGGCATCTTTCCTTGGAATGAGACTGAGCATTTAACAGATTAGAATCCCTGAACTGGGTTGAATTTGCCAAAAAAGGCTAGGGTGCAGGGTGTGTGTGTGTCTGGCATTTGATAAACAATACACTTCTTTAATAAAACTATTCCCTGTTTTCACATTGCTACACTAAGACGGCACATTCCATTTTATCTGATTCATAAGCGTTTCCTTTGGGTGCCCCCCAAAAGCATCCAGTCTTTTGCCATATTCTAGGGGCAAAGGTTTCTCAGAAGCAGCTGGGGAACCCGCGACAACACGACAGGCCGCTCTGAAGAAGGAACAGCTTCTCTGGAGTCCTCCACCTCTCTGTGCCTCGACCACACAGCCCCCTCCTGAGGGCTCTCCTGTCTGGGTCTCGATGTCTTAATCTTTATTAATATTTATGAATCTTATCTCTGCCCCCATAGAGACAACAACTCAAAGCAGGGGCATAAATCTAGTGCACTAGCAAGAACAGGATTTTTTTGAGAGTGTGAATATCTACCCACATGAGTGGAGTGTGGGCCGCCCACAGAGATACCTGTCATGAGCGGGCTGGGGACTTGCCTGTGAGAAGTCAGAGGATTCCTCAACATGGCCAAGCCCCTCCCACATCTTTTCTGAGATGGGGGCAGTGCCCTAACTGAATACACAAACGGGGTGGAGTTCAGTGTGTATGAGACTCTCTAGGTGCTTAATGGTGCCTCCACATGGGTTTAATGTCCACGTATTCGTTACGTCTCTCCACCTTCCTGGTCCTGGAAGAGATACAGGTGCATCGTAGGAAAGTGGGCATGCGGGACTGACAGGTGAGGGGTGTGGAGTTACAATGCAGGGCTCTGAAAATCTCAGCTCACCTATTCCCGCCTGGTTCCCCCAAATGCCCCACCTTGCTCAAGTATGGGAACCCATGTCCCATTCCCTTCCATATCACTAAAGTGTGTGAAACCTACCTAGGTTTTAGTTGGAAGAGACTTTTTTAAAGATTTATTTTATTTATTTAAAAGGTAGAGTTAGAGAGAGAGCCGGAGAGAAGGATCTTCCATCTGGGTTCACTCCCCAGGTGGCTGCAATGGCCCAGCTGGGCCTGGTGGAAGCCAGGAGCTTCATCTGGGTCTCCCATATGAGTGCAGGGACCAAAGCACTTGGACCATCTTCCACTGCTTTCCCAGGCACATTAGCAGGGAGCTGGATCAGAATTAGAGCAGCCAGATCTCAAACTGGAGCCCATATGGGATGCTGGTGCCGCAGGCAGGAGTTAACCAGCTGCTGCACAATGCCAGACCCTGAAAGGGACTGCTGATGCACCATTTTCAATGGACATTCATCTATGGTGGAACTCCAGGACCTGTGGCCAAGCCGGCTATCCCGAGACCTTTCTTGCATGTGTCAAATGACACCATGCAGCTATCTGTGTGCTAGACCAACTCAGCACTGCTCAAATGTTGAGGGTGTTTGATGTAGGGCACTGCGCCACAGAGCTTGTAATTACATATTTTTAAATCAGTACATCACATTCCCAATGTCATTACAATTTTGTCTAAATGCGGGGAACCAAATATTGGGAACAAATATCCAACTGTCTATTTTTTGTTGCTACAGGATACCTGAGCCTGGCTAATTTACAAAGGTTTACCTGGCTCACAGTTTTGGAGGCTGAAAGCCCAAGACTGAGCGGCCCTGTTAATTCGGTCTCTGAAGAGGGTCCTCTTGGCTGAGTCATGTCACAAGGAAGGTGTCACAAGGATGGGAGTGAGTGACAGGGGGAGAGATTGCTGGGTGAGACAGGAAGTGAGGGTGAAGAAGGGACAGGAACGTCCTGTCTCCAGGCCCCAGCTCCTAAAGTTTCCCCCACTCCCAACCTGGCCACATTTCCATTACATGAACCCCAACCAAGCTTCCACCCAGGGACCTTCAGGGAACACATCTAACCCTCAGCACTGTATATGTTCAATTATCTAACGTAGAACTGTTTCAGAAGAGAATGTCTGTTCTGTGTCAAATATAATAGGAAACAAAACAGAAAAGATTTTTTTCCCCTCATAACACCCAAACACTGGGACACACCTAAGTGAGTTATATCAGCTAAAAAGATCAGTGAGAATTAAGATACAGCTCTCAAGACACCATTATAGGGGCCGGCGCTGAGGTATATTGGGTCAAGCTACTGCCTGGGGTGCCAGCATCCCATATGGGCACTGGTTCAAGTCCCGGCTGCTCCACTTCCCATCCAGCTCTCTGCTATGGCCTGGAAAAGCAGTAGAAGATGGCCCAAGTCCTTGGACCCCTATGGGAGACTTGGAAGAAGCTCCTGGCTCCTCGCTTCAGATTGGCACAGCTCCAGCGGTTGAGGCCATTTGGGGAGTGAACCAATGGATGGAAGACTTTCTCTCTCTCTCCCTCCCTCCCTCCTTCCCTCCCTCACTCTGCCTCTCTGTAACTCTTTCAAGTAAGTAAATATATAAATCTTAAAAAAAAAGACATCATTATAAGTGGCTCTCTCCTTCCAGACTGTAGGATTGTTTAAATTCTGAAAGTACAATGCATTAACACAAAGTTCCTATAGTCCCCCAGCATTTAGTTTTCAAGATCTAAAAATTACTGTTTCATACCAAAAAATGCCTTTTGTTTGCTGAATATTGGAAATGAAGAGAAGTGAAATCTTACTATTTCCTACATTAGAAAGAATTTTAAAGAATTTTTTTGTCATAGAAGATCACAAAAACATACAATTATTTTAAGATGAGCATCCTTTTTAAAAGATTTATTTATTTATTTATTCATTTTGACAGGCAGAGTGGACAATGAGAGAGAGAGACAGAGAGAAAGGTCTTCCTTTTGCCGTTGGTTCACCCTCCAATGGCGCTGTGGCCGGCGCACTGCACTGATCCAAAGCCAGGAGCCAGGTGCTTCTCCTGGTCTCCTATGCGGGTGCAGGGCTCAAGGACTTGGGCCATCCTCCACGGCCTTCCCGGGCCACAGCAGAGAGCTGGCCTGGAAGAGGAGCAACCAGGACAGAATCCGGCGTCCTGACCTGGACTAGAACTCAGGGTGCCGGCACCGCAGGCGGATGATTAGCCTCTTGAGCCTCAGCGCCGGCCAGATTTATCTATTTATTTAAAAGGCAGAGTAACAAAGAAACAGAGATCTTTTATCTGCTGGTTCACTCCCAAACTGGCTTCAATGGCTAGGGCTGGGCCAGGCCAAAGCCAGGAGCTTCCTCTAGGTCTTCCACATGGGTGCAGGGGCCCAAGCACTTGGGCCATCTTCCACTGCTTTCCCAGGCCATAGCAGAGAGCTAAATCGGAAGCAGAGCTGCTGGCACTTGAACCAGTGCCCACATGGGATGCCGGTACTGCAGGCTGCGGCTTAACCCACTGTGCCACAGCACCAGCCCCTGCTGTGTAATTTTTAAATTTAAAAGCTTGCTTTAGGAGACTTCCTGGCCCTGTCTTTTCATCCAGACCCTGTCTTTTCATCCAGACCCTGTCTTTCCTTTGTCTCTATTCTATTTCTTCCACCCAGTTTTGCTGTCAGTCTAGCAGCCTGCCCTCAGTGGGGGTCCCATTGCAGGAGGGAAGTCTAGTAGATTCTTTTTTTCTTTTTTTGTTTTTATTTATTTGACAGGCAGTTAGATGTGGTGGAATGAGAAGGCCACGGCAAGGTGGCCGCTGGCAAGCAAGTGTCAGTTACTCAGGAATAGCTTTGAAACCCACCTGGCAACAGGCTGTGATTGGTTGGGGCATAGACCGCCCCTTGACCGGATTGGCTGGTCTTGGCTATATAAGATGTTGTACCAACTGAAATAAACAAGTTTGCGGGCTGCTTGCCTCAAGTCTGCTTTCACCCAACTACCGGGGTCTGTGTGGTGACTCGCACCTCTTGCCCTCACCACGCTCCTCCTCTCAGAAAGGAATCCACTGCAACATTGTTGAGAAATCAACTGCTACAGACAGTGAGAGAGAGACAGAGAGAAAGGTCTTTCTTCCATTGGTTCACTCCCCAAATGGCTGCCATGGCCAGCGCTGCGCCGATCCAAAGCCAGGAGCCAGGTGCTTCTTCCTGGTCTCCCATGCGGGCGCAGGGGCACAGGCACCTGGGCCATCCTCCACTGCCTTCCCAGGCCACAGCAGAGAGCTGGACTGGAAGAGGAGCAACCGGGATAGAATCCCAACTGGGACTAGAACCCAGGATGCTGGCGCCGCATGTGGAGGATTAGCCTAGTGAGCCGTGGCAACGGCCTAGAGTTAACATCTTAAAGCTCAATTTAAAAATAAATTTAAAGGGGCCTGTGCTGTGGCGCAGAGGTTAAAGCCCTGGCCTGCAGCGCCAGCATCCCATATGGACACCAGTTCATTCCTGGCTGCTCCACTTCTGATCCAGCTCCTTCTTAATGCGCCTGGGAAAGCAACTGAGGATGGCCAAGTCCTTGGGGCCCTGCACCCATGTGGGAGACCCAGAAGCAGCTCTGGGCTCCTGCCTTCCGCCTGGCCAGCCTTGGCAGCTGTGGCCGGCTGGGGAGTGAACCAGCGGATGGAAGATTTCTCTGTCTCTCCTGTGTAACTTTGCTTTTTAAGTAAATTTTTAAAAAGTCTTTTAGAAAAATAATTTTTTAAAAAAGTATAACTACAGTTCCTGGGCAAAATGGAGCTACACGTTATTCAAGCAGGTTAACTACCTAACCAGTGGGATGTCCGGTCTGCAGAGAGAGCCACTTCTTGCATCTTGGTTTGATTTGCAGAGGTTCCCATTAGCACCGCCGGTCAGCGTGCCTGTGGCTTGGCACGGTACACGGGACCCCTCCGTGAGAAGAATCATGCAACGCTGTCTCGGGGTCTAACTCCTCAAAGTACAGGAGCGAGCCAGGACTGCCAGGGTCACCGAGACGCGGCGGGCGAGGGCCGGACACGCCCCGCACGCGTCCCTGGCCACCGACGGCCACGCGCGCAGCGCCAGCGCCTACTCCCGCGGGGGCTGCGGTGCCGGGACGCGCGAGGCCGGGCTGGAGACGGATCCGTCGGCTCCGCGGAGGAGCCCGCGGCTGCCCGCCAGCGTCGCCCGCCCTGTCCCCGCGGCGCCCACGCGCGTCCGCATCCCACGGAACCCAGCAGCCAGAGACACTGACGGGAGGTCCCTGCCCTCTCAAAGTTTCGCGCCAAGGAGACAGGCGGAGGGACGCGGCGGAATCCGCCCCAGGGTCGGCGGGGCTCGTCCCCGTGCGGCACTGCCCGCGCGAGGGTCTGAACCAGGACACCTGGTGGCCCCCCGCCCCGGCCGCGGGCTCCTCCCCGGAGACGTCAACAAATAACGCTCGCCCGCGCCGACTGACTACCGAGCAGCCGCCAAGAGCGCTGTCCCAGGCAGAGGGTCCGTGGGGGACCCGCGACAGCACCGTCTCCACCAGTCTGCCGCCCGGGCACCAGAGAGGGCCGCCGTGACCCTGACCCCTGCGGGCCGCCGTAGGTCCCAGGGGCCCCTGATGACCCTTGCGGGCCGCCGTAGGTGCGCGCTCCCAAAATGGCTACTCGGCCCCGCGGCCCCCGGCGCTTTAGCTGACCGCCGGGCAGCAGGCCCTCCGCGCCACCGCGGGCCCCGGAGGCAGCGCGGCGTAGAGGCGGGTGCGGCGTCCGCGCCGTCGCTCGGGGCGGGGCGCCGAGCCCCTTCCGGGGATGGGCCCCGGGGCCCGCGTCGGTGCGGCTCTGCCCAGGCTCCTCCCCGCTCGGGCGGGCGCTCCGCCGAGTCCCCGCCCGTCAGCCCGTCCGGCCCGGCCGGCCGCAGACGGGGCCTGGGCGGGCGCACGGGGAGCTCTCGGCCTCGGGGCGTCGGGAGGCGTCGGCGCTGCCGCTGGCCCGCGACGGCGGCACCATGTTCTCGCTCAAGCCGCCCAGACCCACCTTCAGGTCTTACCTCCTGCCGCCGCCTCAGGTAAACAGCCCGCTCCCGCCTCGAGCTTCCGGGGCGCCCCCGGGCCAGCGCGGCCCCGGGGGCAGGGGCAGGGGCCCCGGGGAGGCTGCGCGCGCTGTCCGAGCCGCGACGCGGGCAGTGCCCCCGGGCTCGGTGGAAACTTGGAGGAGGGCGCTCAGCCGTTCTGTGCCCGCAGCCCCGCCGGCTCGGTCCGCCCGGTGCGTGCCGAGGTCCAGGAGAGACCTCGCGGGGAGCTGGGTCGGTTTTCGCCCCGCAGCGCCTGTGTCACCCGGCGGGGCAGGTCACCTGCCCGTCGGATGGGGGAACGCTGGGACGGGCCCAAGCCCCTTATTGGTTTTATTGTCGGTAACGAGCAGGTCTGGAGAGGAGCTGGGCTGAGACGGGAGAGGGGTGCGGGGTGCGGTGGGTGGGATCCGGTGCGCTCCAGGCGTCGTCACTGAGCGGGGACATTGGCCTTCGTGTCTTGAGGGCGGCTTGATGGATTTCGCTCATGTATTTCAGACTGACGATCAGATCAGTGCGGAACCGAAGATTAAAAAACTGGAGCCAGTCCTCTTGCCAGGTAAACGGGGTTCCAGCAGGTACCTGGGCGTCGTGTCTTGATCTCGGAGTAGGGTGTGCTACTCCCCCTGCCTTTGTTTTCAACTCTGTCCAGTTAGAAGCCGGATGCCCGAGAGGAGAAGATGAGCTGCTTAGCATCGACCAGGCCCACAGCAGCAAAAATAATGAGGATTGGTGTTTGCTCTGGGACGTTTCTAGCGTCATTGAAAACTCTGAGGCATATATATCGCTCCCTCAGTCTCTCTTCTTGGTCTCCTGAAATGTCCCTTTTGAAGGGAAGTATGCCTTTAACTGCCTGGGTAGTGAAAGTACTCTTTGCCCGGCTTGTCTGTCTGCAGTTTTGAGCATTTATGATTAGTAGGTCATCATTTTAATGCCTTTTGATAGTTGCAAAGTAACTCGTGGCGCGTCTGTGTCTCTGGAGTGTCAAAGCTCGGTGAACCTGGAGTTGCTCCCTCGGCGGTCGTCTTTGAGGTTGTCAGCTGTATTTGCAAGTTAGCTGGTTGCCCTTTTGGACAGGGTTTCCCAGCACAGCCCCTGTTGACATTTTGGGCCTAGTAATTGTTGAGAGAGCTGTTGGGTACGACCATTCCCTGGCCTCTACCCAGTGGGCGCCAGTCTTACCCCCCTTCCTCCACCAGGTAGTTGCAAGTTAGTTGCCACATCCACAGTGTCTCCAGGCATTGATCGCTGTGTGTGTGTGTGTTACACACCTTGTGGGAACACAGTCTCCAGGTTAGGAATCACTGCTTTAGAACAAGAACTGCCTTGGAGGATTTTAGAGACAGGGTAGGGATTGGAGCTGCGTTTGTTTTAGAGCCTACAAAATAGTATTCAGGTTGTATTTTGAGTCTTGTAACAGTTGTCTAATCATTAGGAAAAGTCAGTCGTTTAATAAGGTTCTTGGGAGAAGGAGCCTGATACTTAGGAAAGCCTGTTTTAAACCTGAAGTATAATCAAATGCCAGTTTGTGTGGCTTCTCACAGCATTTTAAAATCTCAGTCATTATGTAAAGTCACCTTTAAGGAGTATCAATTAAAATCTTACCCATAATAACTGGAAAAGTAGAGACGGGCACATTATAAACATCGACCTTTGGCTCCATATGGTATAAACTAACCCATAACCTTCTTAAATTTTGTTATGGGCCTTAGTTATACATGTTTCTCCTTGATTTCCTCCGTGTTTTTCATCCAAGCTATGTGCTAATTCATCCTTTGTACCCTTCCTCAGGGTGAAAACCAGAATTACTGAGTAACGCTTGCGCCCTGTGTGTGCTCTCGCTTAGTCTTAGTCACTGCAGGCGTTGGAATAGCAGACGGGAAGCGGCTCGTCTTGAATGAGTGCCTGGGAGTTGCTGGACTTCGGCTTCCTCGACTTCGGACAGGCCTGGTCTGAGGCCTTCACGCCCCCCCGCTATGACTCCAGTCAACACATAGTCTTAGCTTCTCAGGATGATGCCTGATGTTTTAGAGCCGGCTTTTAAGTTTAAGATGTGCTCATGAGAACTGTTTAAAAAACTTGGGATTTCTCATTGAAGGATTATCCTGTAAAATTACTAAAAAATCACCTTTCTATAGAAAAGTCAGTTTTTTGAGAAAGATTTGATATCCAGTTCCTGCCTGTAAGTGGTTTACTTGTCCTAGAAATGATAGCCAAATCTGGGTCTTTTAATGGCCTATTAAGGAATTATCTGGCTGTGTTAATTTTTCTTGCATTGAATTCCACATCATAGCTAACCTGTGAACATGGCTGTGTCATCCAGCCTTCTGTTGGTACTTGACCTATCCTTAAAGAACCCTGAACCAATCCCAAATTGTTTGTTTTTTTTTTTTTAAAGATTTATTTATTTATTTATTTGAAAGAGTTATGCAGAGAGAGAGAGGGGTCTTCCATCCACTGGTTCACTCTTCAGTTGGTTGCAATGGCTGGAGCTGCGCCAGTCCAAAGCCAGGAGCTAGGAGCTTCTTCCAGGTCTCCCATGTGGGTGCAGGGGCCCAAAGACTTGGGCCATCTTCTACTGCTTTCCCAGACCACAGCAAAGAGCTGGATCAGAAGTGGAGCAGCCAGGACTCAAACTGGTGCCCATATAGGCTGCCAGCACTGCAGGTGGCAGCCTCACCCGCTGTGCCACAGCACCTGTCCCCCAAATTGTTGTGTCTTTTGCCCTTCCTTCTCGTGCCCTCTGTTTTTATCTTCTCACCCTGGTCTTTCCACACTTGTCTGAGTGTGTTCTCCCTGACCGTCCTACAGTGGCCTCTCTCTCCTGCTCTACCTCTTGTGTCACATCTCTGAATACCACTAGAACCTCTGTTGCTTCTCCTTTGACCCTTACCCTTCTGCTACACTCATGAACTCTGTAGACAAGTGGGAAGTAACTGAAGTGTTGGTGACCTATGACCGAGGCTAGAGGCTGCTAATGTGGCGCAGTGTGTAAAGCTAACGCCTGTAATGCCAGCATCCTGTGAGAGCACCAGTTGGAGACCCAGCTGTTCCACTTCCAATCTGACTCCCTGCTAATATGCCTGAGAAGGCAGCGGAAGATGGCTCAAGTCATGGACCCTTGCCACCCATCTGGGAGGCCTCGATGGAGCTCTAGGCTTGTGGCTTTGGTCTGGCCCAGCCCTGGTCGGTCTGTCTGTCTCTCTGTCTCTCTCTCTCTGTAACTCTGCCTTTCAAATAAGTAAACAAATCTTTAAAATAAATGAAGACCTAGGCTAGGCTAGGGCTTTTACTGAGGGGTTGAAGAATGTATTCTGGCTTTCATTATAGTCAGGAATCAGGAGAAAACTTAGCCAAGTCACCTGTGGCTTCACCCGGGCACACAGGACAAAAAGTAATTGTTCAGAAATCTAGTCTCGTGTGCTGTGTTTTGGCATCATGCCTTGGGTCCTAGGATATCTTACTTCAGGTGCCCGAAGTTTGAACTCTTAATTCAATAAGCAGATGAAAATTAGAACACAAAATCAATTGTTTATTTGTGTGCAGTCACCATGTGTTCTTTTGGGACATAACAAGGCTAATTTTAAAACGTTTCTCATCTTTTATTAAGTAAAGAAAATAGAAGAAATTGACTAGTGATTTAATTTAGGCTGTGGCTTGTGTTCATAATCTTCAGCTTTCCTGGTTTGTAAAGCCCCTTGAGGTGGAGCCCGTACCCGACTGAAATCCCTGGTGCTGATGTCCGGCATGCCTGGGCCGCGGGGACGCTGCAGGGCCTGCTGCACGAGTGGCTGAAGGACTCCTGCCTGCTCACACGGCTCCCTTAGCCGTGCACACAGATCAGCTCCCAGACAGAAGGATAAAAGGAAGACTTACTTGATGCCAAGTATCTCACAAGTGTTCTCCTAGAGCCTAGGTTGAAGGGTTGAAATCCAGCACTCTGTCGAAGTCGTTAGCCTTAGCGTACTTTTTGTTCATCTTCCATCGTAATGTGAGTCTGTCTTTGGTTAATTGATCATGTATGTGTAAAGTCACTCCAGTACTTTCTAACATTCAAGCGAGAATTTTAAAACGTATGTGTGTAAATGTGTATATGTTTGTGTTCCAGCATATTTGTTAAGGGCGTGGAATGTTGGTCTATGCCTGTCGCCTTTCGGCTAGCTGCCGGACTGGTGGAGTGGTTCAGGGCGAGCTTCGGTGTGTCCTGGGTGCCAGGCTCTGTACTAGCTGGCGAAGGGACTGGAAGTGCTGTGTGCTTGTATGGCAGCAAGACCCAGGTGATCTCCAAGCTGCCTGTGTAAGAGGTAGAAAATTGTGACCTAGATCAACCTAGGGGTTGGCGAAGTCCAGCCAGGGCCTGGCCTCAAATCTGGGTGAAGTGTTTACCCACCCTTGCTCACAATGAGACAGTTACGAATGTAGCCTTCTTCCATAAAGCCAGGTTTATTTGGTTTAAGGCTCACCCCTCATGCTGAGGTACGTCCTTCTACCTTCTTTGGGGGTGTGTATGTTATTTATGATGGTGGTAGTAGCTAGTCCTCCTAACAGCACTGTCGAGTCAGGTACCATTTGGTACTCATGTGACAGATGAGACAACTATAATGTGCAGAGGTGAAGTAGCTTGCCTGGTGTTGAGCAGCTAGCAAGGGCAGAGCCAGAGTTCTGTGCCCAGCTTCTAGCCTGTGCCTCTAACCGTGGAGCAGCATGGCCTGCCTGGCTGCACGGTGACAGTAGGGTGCAGATTGCATGTCAGCCAGAGGGAGTTCTGTCCTTGCCTGTACCCTTTTCACAGCAGTGACAGATTTTGACCGTGTGCAAGGAGAATCTTACAGTTTCAGCTGCCAGAAAGCAGAATGTCGTGGGAGACAGTGGACTTCCGGTTGCTGGCTGCTCCAAAGCAGAGGCTGGGGATGCCGGTGACATCTTTGTGGCGAGGATGGAAGATTTGTAGGGAGTAGGACTTGAAAGTATCTGCTGTCTTTCAACCCGAGGCCTGATCGTTTTAAGGGTCTGTGAGCTGGGAGGGAGAAGAGTTGAAATGCTAGGGCTAGCAATAGTTCCACAGTTATGGAATGTGTGCTCCACGTTCGTGGCAGGGAGGTAGAAGGATTGAAGAGGTGGGGAGCTGCTTGTTCACTGGGGACCTGCTGAGAACAGAGGTTGTGAGACCTCAGAGAAGGGCACCTCAGCCAGATGTGGGGCTAGGGCAGGGCTGTCAGAAAAGGCTTCCAGGAAATGCTTTGTTCTGTGGATCTTGAATGCCTGCTACACCTTTGCTGCTGTGCTGAGGCTGTGTGTCACTCAGTTCTTTCCCTCTTCCCATGGACAGTGCTGACAGCACTTTTATTATTGGAATTAACCATGAGATTGATGGTGAATGCACTGATTGTGAGAGCCTTTTGTAATCAGATCAGCAACATGTGCAACCGTGGGCCATCTGGAAAATGGCAGTAACCATTGTTGTGTAGCTGTCTTGTTTGTGGTTTACGTATTTCCTCTTTGGATCACTTAATGTACTGTGTTTGTTTTCTGCTTCACTGTCAGTCTTTCTCTCTTTTT